TGATTCAGGTGAGCCTGACCCACTCACATGAGCTCTTTAAAAGCAAAGTGTTTTCTCTAACTGATCTGGCTGGCCACAGAGGAGGAAGTTAGAGAAATGTGCTTAGGTTAGCCTGAAGAAAGCAAATGTCCATCTCATAAACTGCCCACATGGCAAGGAGCAGCAGGCGACATCTAGAGTAGCTGAAAGCGGTCCCAGCTCACAGCTAGATGGACAACAGGGACCTCAATCCTACAACCACAAGGAAATGAATTCTGCTAACAATCAATGACATTGGAAGAGGTCCCTGAACCTAGATCAGAGCTCAACCTGGATGACATCTTTTTATTTTACTTGAATATGGTTGGTATACAATATTATATTAATTATATTAGTTTCAGGTGTACAATAGTGATTCAACATTTTTATGCCTTGATTTAAGTTTCATAATACCCTGAGCAGAAAACCCACCCACACCTTGCCAGCCATCTGACCTACAGAACTGTGAGCTAATAAGTGAGTGTTTTTTAAAGCCACTAAGTTTGTGGTAATTTGTGAAACAGTAATTTTAAAAACTCATATACTTATAATACACTTTCATAATCAATACATAAAAATCTTATGAATTTTTTTCAAACACATTACCTGATCTCATTCATTACACTTCTAGGAGCACTTCAAATTTTTTCAAAATTCAGAAAGAGAAAATGTTATTGACTTTTCATGGTGTTCTCATTTTAAATTTATGGAGTGCTTTGGAGACAGATCTGAATAGCCTAGAGGTTCACTGTTTCCATCCTTTTGGTAGCTTATCAAAGAGTAGGCCGAGTGGATCTGCAGTGGCTCAATGGAAAGAGTAGGCTGGTGATACTAGCTTCAGTGGGCTCCCCTTTCAAACAAGGCCACTTTCTCAACCCTGAAGCTTATACTGTTATGAAATTGCCCTCCCAGAGCACACTCTTTATTAAGATAAGTAGGCTCTCCTATCTATCAGCCTGTACATTTTTTTATCAATAAAACCTACGTCATTTGTGCCATTGAGGCACAGTGTCAGCGGCCCCTATGACACAACCTAAGTCTTCCTCACACATTGTTTCTGTAACTCCTAACTTTTCCTGGTTCTCACAAGTCTTCTAATCATAGACCATGAATATATTGCTATTTAGAGTCGTTTATGTTTCTTAGTTATGTTTTATAATTATTTTTAAATAGATTATTGCTTGCTTTTAGACTACTAAGAACTACAGCTCTCAAAGCTATTATGTTAACTTTTCTAATTATAACTAATCCAAGCTGATATAGAGAAAAACTTTCAGATCTGTCTATTTTCCTTTTGATTTTTAACTGGATACAGTTTCAATGTTTACTAATAATTAAGGTGATGAAAGAACAAAGTATTCGTATTTTTAAATAGGCCCATTTATCCAGAAATTTCTCAGATCCTGAAAGAATGAATCTATAATGATGTCATTCAGACCATAGGCATCTAACTGAGACCTTTTGTGACTCCTTCTAAGACATGTGTGCATGCTATTGAGGTAGGAGATAGCAAAAACAGGGACCAGTTGTCCTGATCTCTTAAATTTAAGGGTCAAGTCACTTTATTTTGGGAAGTCTGAGGCTCAGGATTATTCCTCAAGATATACCTTCTCCCTTGCAATGGGATTTGAGGCCTGCTAGTATTTTTATAGCTTCTCGCAAGGCATCTTGGGGGCTATGGTCCCTTAGCCATTCAAAATCAAATATATCTTCCCACTCACAAGTCTAAAGAAATTAAAATTTTTTGCTACTCTCTGGGTCTGTCTTTCCCTTAACATCCCAACACTTATTCCCATTGTGCTTTTACTCTCAAAGTTTCCGTTATCTCCATAGCCTTTATGGTGAGATAAAAATGTGAACCCCCTAGACCTTGCAGTGCAATAAAGCAGACTGACCCTGTGCAAGCTCAGCAAGAATTTCAAGGTCCAGAGTCCACACATTAGATGTCTTATTAAGTAGAAAAATTATTTTCTTAATTTGTAGATGAATTTTTCTGGTGTTCATATCACTGTAGGTATAAAAGGCAGTGAACCCACAGTTCTGATGCACAAGTGGCCATGCAGAAGCATGTTTGTGCTCCTGCCACCTTATCTCAAGGATATTCTGGGGTACACTGTTTTGGAGACATTAAAGTGAAAGCAATTTTGAATGGTGACCATGCCATTTTTTTCCCCTCCCCTAACCTCAGATCAGATTCTGTGTTGTGATAGAGATTAGCCCTACTCTGGACTCAAATATCTCACCCTGATATCTATATCTACATATGTATTTTTAATTCAGTCCTCTTCTCACCTCATTTTTCAGCTACTTTACCCTCCTTTGTATATTGTATAACCTTAACTCTAGACAAAGTACTTTTCTGTTTAACACTAATTCTTAGTTGTTTCCCTCATATTTCTTATCAATAACTGACAAGTTATTGGCCCAGCATGTTTTCCCATAAAATCCTTACCACTCCAACTCCTTCAAACTTTGTGCAAAAAGTAAAGGGGACCCGCTTCCCAGAGCCACTGTAGACCACTGATTCATCACTCTTTCTCCACTGTCTTTCACTTAAAATTCATACCATTTCCATTGGTTTGAAAAGAGTTAAGATGTAAATGTGTTTTAGAATGCAATAGATCAGGATATAAATGTATGATAAATTTATTACCAACAATAATAAAATGATCGACCACAATGAAATGTAAAAACAAGGACTTATTTTTGCAGCAAACACTTGTTACCTATAAAATATTGTGGAATCACCTGGAAATAGTAAGGTTTTTAAACCATGTGAAGTTTATATAATAAAAGCATAAAGTTATTCTTTATAATGTTTTCAATAGAAATTATCTGTAAATTATATAAGTAACCATTTAGTATGAATATATAAATAAGCATAATGCTCTCTTTAATTTTTCTAACAATGTATTATGGTTTGATGCTTTAAAGAAAAAAATCATTTAAACAGACAATAGATTCCAGGAAGACAGGTTGTAATTCACTTAAAACAAATTTTATTATGTATTGTTAATATAGTTAGTAGTAAAAGCATACATGGAGGCATGTTTTCTTTTATAAAAGTCTAAAAAATTAAAGAATTCTAATTATACTCTTAATTATACCCTACATGTCATCATCTATAGTTAAATTTTGGCTAAAATGTTTGAAACACTCAGTAAAATGAGAAGCTGAGTAAAATCTTTTATATATTATCAAAAATAACTGTAGAATGTGCATTACAATTTAAGATGAAATTACTTAAAATATGGATTATAAGTTCTTCTAATTTTCATTGAAACAGATTTAATTTTGACAGGTAAGCTGTTTTTGGTCCATGTGCCCCACTGGATTCCAGTTGCAAACAGTTTTCCAGGAAAGTGATAAATGCCATTCAGATTTGCTAGACCACATCGGTTGAACCACCAGCCAGTATTGTTATTGAGGTGACTGCAGCTCTTCACAGACTGACCATTGACCAGGCATGCAGGGTGACATCCATCATTATCAACATCTGATGTGCTAAAAGGCATTGCATTTTGATTATCTTCTTTTTTGAAGCCCCGAAATGCATCACCTGGGTAAAACAGATTTTTTAAATGGCTAAATTTATAGGCAATTTTTGTAATTTTAATTGACCTTTACCAGCCTATTATACAAAAGCATTGCATCCAGAAATAAGATTTGAATTATGTTCTTTAAGGTATCATATTACAAACCCTCCTCCAGATTGTAATATGCCAAAATCTGATGATGAATTCCTCATCATGATAGGTTTTTTTTTAAGTGGACATTTGATATAAAATCACAATCTAAAATGGAAGTTTGGCTGTATAAACATATCAAATAATTTAGGCCAAAGAAGGTGGTGTATAGACCTGTCACTCTTCTGGGAAGAGTAATGTAATGATTGATCATTTAGGAAAAGAAAATAATTTACACGAATTAGGTTTTCATGCCACTACTATTTTATAGCACTTTAGATAGAGAGGTATGAATGAATGTGAAACTTCTACCTTTAAAAAACTTAGATTTGTAACTGCAAAACTTGTTTTGTTTTATTTATAGGCTACCAAGTTTATTAAAAATGCCCAATACCCTCAAGAAAAACTTAGGTACCCTATTGAGATGTGCCTTTTTTTTCCAATGCTCTCCACATGATATATGAACTAATTGGATTGTAGTTAAAAACAATACAATTTTTAAAGGGCTTACATTGGACATTGTATGTACAATATCCCCAATATTTGCAATAATTTTCAAAGATTAAGGATCTTAGCCAAGGTAACCCAATTAACTAAGTGGCAGGGGTAGGAGACATGTTTTGTTTTATAAAATTTATATAAATAAAAAATTCTAATTAGTCCCATTATACCTAGATTTCACTAGGTAAACTCTGCTAATATATTTGAACTAAAAGTGAAGCTATGTAAAATCTTTGAAAAATTCAAAGCCCATATGCTTCCAAATGTTTGAAGTCTCTTGAGATATGTCTTTGAGGAGTCTGGAAAACTTCATTAGTGGTGGTGGCGTATCCTATACCTATACCCAGAGCCTCTGACTCAGTTCCTCATGGGAAGCAAAATGCCCATTCTGCAAGTATTTACAGAGATAATATATTTTCAACATCCGTACAGGACAATACTTTTCAGAATTTCAGATGAGAGAGACAACACTTACAGAGCATTGCCTAAATTATATGATCCCTCTACCAATACTCCTTCTGGAGGAAGTCCAGCCCTCAGAAGGATCATACAGCAGATTGGACTCTCTCTGAATTACATTTAATAAATTATTTCAAAAATGTAATGTATAGATCTATTTTTTGAGAAATAACTCATTAAAACTCGTCATCATGTTTTCTGTGAGAGTAGTTAGAAAACATGGCACTTTGTTTTCCTTGAGAACCCAGAGAAATTCCTCTGAAGTTTTACAATCAGAAATATATATCTTTTTCATGGAACAACCAGATTGTTCAAATGTTCAACTTTCATATTTCTATATTTGCTCTTAGCTCAAAGTCAGATTTGTAGCCCACTTCTACCATACACACAATCACACTTATCCCTCTGGTTTAATCTATGTTCCTGTCTTTACAGTCTATCGACAACTTCTTTATTTTAACTATATTATGTGATCAACAATTGAAAGTTACTTAACAATACTTTTGGGAAAATGTAGAGTAGGGCATGCCAAAATTTGAAAGTTCTATAATGAAGAAACATTTTTGCCATTATAAAATTCGTTTTCCACTTAGATACTAATTGTCTTTTAGGGACCCCACATAAACTTATCCTAACATAGTATGTTCCATATTTAGATAGTTCTTTATACTTTTAGAGATGAAGCATTAAAAATTATATACTGTAACTCTTTAAAATTTTTATTCTATATCAAAATTTGAAAGATTTCAGACTTTTACCTAATATCCCAAGGCTAAACCCCCTCAGATGTCATAGATTCCAGCCATACCAGACAACTCTTCATACCTAGTAATTTTCCTACCTCTGTGCCATGACTCAAGCTGCTCTTTTTGCCAACATTCATTTGCCAAAAGCCTATCCATTTCTCCAAGTACAAATCAGTGGGTCTCAACCATAAGGATGCCAACATATCCATCTGTGAACACAAATACCTGGGCCCAAATTTACTGAGTGAGATTCTGCAGGACTTTCAAAAGCTTCCTGGGTTGAATCTAATATAAACTCTTATTGAAAAATACCTTTCCATAATGATTTTCTGTATGCAATTAATTGAAATCATTTTCTCCCTCCTTTTAACCCCCAAAGCTCTATTAGTCTTCTGTATTCAATTTATTTATCCCATCTATATTGTTATCATTTAAGGAGCTAAGAATATATCTCATTCATTTCTGGATTTCTAGCACCAAAAATACATAAGCATTGAAATACGAGAGCATTGAATTTAGTTTTTCTTAAAGTTAAAATTCTAGCATCAAAATATAAATTTAACATCAAGTATTTTGAAGTTCTAACAAATTAAATGTATTTGGAAATGAGTAGATGCACCAAGATATAGTGGAAAACATTAAACTAGTTTTTCTAATAACCTTCCTGGTTTCTTGCCCTGGCTCAAATGTGAGGAGCTGGGAATCTTGGGCAAGTCACTTAATCTTTCATGTTTCTTCACCTGTAAAGTGAGAAGAGTGAAGATCAGCTCTAACGTTTTATGACTTCTAAATGCCAACTTCTCTGAATGTGAAAATGTCAATAATACTTTCCCAGCCTCACCCACAGGCTCTCTATCTAAAGAATCAACTGAGATTACATATGGCAAATTGTTTTAAAGAGTCTAAAGCACTTCAAAATCATAATGTAGTGCAACAATCACAGCACAGTTTTGAAACTCAAGACCTGGCCAGTTTTCTCATTGCTAATCTTTTCTGTTATTGGTCATATGTCATTACCAAGAAAAATGCATTCCTTTTATCTTCACCTACTACTGAGTCAGTTATGTTTAAATCTTCTGGATCATTTTAGGAATAAAGAACTTACCAGCATTTCCTGAATACCGGCCTAAGTGCATTTTAAAAAATCTTGTTTCATTCTCCAGCCAAAAATTATCATATGATGCATAAGCCAATGTGTCATCTTCAGATTCCAATGCCACATACAGCATAAAACTGGTATTTTTCTGATTTACGATATAAAAAATCTTTTTTAGTCCTAGCCAAAATTCACCTGTAAAAAAATTTTAAAAAAACTTTAAAAATATTTTTCATACAAATTAGAATAACCCTTGATTATTGAGTGTTTGGTGTTGTTTAATGTTTCAATATCTCTGAAACGGCTCACATAAATCGCTGGAGGGACTAAATGGACCTCATTAAGATTATCAATGTTTGACTAATTTCCAAAAAAAAAAAAAAAAAATCCACTTCTACCTCACTAGACTAAGGATAACTAGACTGTTCCATTTTTATTTCCCCAAATTAAAATTTAAAATTCATTTAAAGATTAATTAAGTAAAAAGTCAAGTTTTACCTTAAAACATGTCAACAAAAAGCTAATAGAAATATTATGGCAGGTAACGAAATAAAGGGTACTAGTAAATATAAAAGGTTTAACCTCCAAATCAGTACCCCTTAAAGACACATTTTCTGATAAAGCTCAGCTGAAATTATTTTTTATGTCTTTAAGAATAACACTTTATGAACAAATATTTCTTTGTTATAATGCAGCTTGTGAATCACCTATGAATGGATATGGAATGTAGCAACACTGGTATATCCCCAGGTTTTGGGTCAATATTCCCAAGAAAATTACAGATCCAGGATGAGTTATTAATCTACCTAATTCAGACTGTAGATTTCTGGCATGTTCTAGCCAACAGCTTCCTACCTCTCCCTACCCACTGCGTCTAGTCAAAACAAACTTCAAAGAGTTGAGGGACAGTATGACAGTATTCAAACTCTTAGAACTATAGGTAAGATACTAAGTCCTTCTCCAGAGCTTACAGGGGTATTTTCGCTACATGCCCACTTAGAATTGAACATTATCCTGAAGAAGTACAGGAAGAAAGGGGGTATAGGAAGTAAGAAAAAAAATACAGAAAGTAAGATGGGTTCCTAGGGGTCTATCTAGTATCCCCCAGTTTATGACTCTCCATTTTAAATTTCCCTGCCATCTTTCCCCTCTACTCTAACCCCAAATTTAAGACTTAACAATATATTTAACTTAATCCAAGTTTTTAAAAAATATGTACCCAAATACAAAGATGTCTGTTCACATGAAGGATAACTGCCTAAAGACCTTTGTGTCAAAACTCACATAATTTCTCCATAGAAATAAGCATAATCTAAGGAAGATGACAATCTAGAGCCTGAAATCAGGAGGAAGCGCTCAGTGGAAATTGAGAGGATAATGCTGAAAAAATACAAGTATATTAATTGCACTCCATAGCATGGCAGCTATTTGGCCTTGTACATGATATTTTATTATGTTTCACGTCCCTTGTAAAATCACTGGCATTTAGTGCTAAATCCTTGGATGACATTGTTATGGAATGCTAAAGATTTAAATTATAACAACAGCATAAAAATGATCAAAATTAAAATAACAGCATAAAATAACCATAAAAATAATCAAAATCACTGCAAACATTCCAACTAATATGAAATTCTAGAGTGTTCAGAAATACTGATATTTCTATTTACCTGCAAAAGTGATGCTGTTGTGTAGAAATAATGTAAACAGCTTTTACAATCAAACTGAGGTTTACATTTTTCAAATTTTGAACATACTGATTTTAATTGATATTTTTATAAAACACTACTCTTGGTTCACATATTTGATTTTGTACAGCCACATACCTAAATTCTCCATTTCATTTGTTTGTGTAGACACAGCATATCTGAAGAACTTAAAGGTTAATGACAATTCTGTCCATTCAGTTTTTCATTCTACAAATAGTTTTTGAGCACCTGCCAGAATTCTACTGAGTGCATAGTAGATACTTAATAAACACCCAATTTAGAATTTTCACTCAGATAACATTTCAAAAGGTATCTAAAAATAAAGATTTCTAAATTTCCAATGGAGACATACTTTTTAAAATAATTTGGCACATTAAGAGAGTGATATTCACAAGAATTTGCTATTTTTACTAATGATTTGACCAAAAGACACACAGTCTATAGGTATAATACCAAAAAGAAGAATAAAAGATAGAAGAGAAATAAATAAAATTTGACCTAAAAGGTCACCAAATCCATCCAGATAATCACACCATAACCTTTGGAAATCAATTATCCCGTCAATCCTTTTCTGTATCACAGTCCATCCACCTCCTCTGTAATCCATGTCACACATTACCTAAAAGCAACCCAGAAAAGACAAAAATAACATACTATTATTTTCATTCTTTGATATAAAATTTATGCTTCACCCTTAAGCCTAGAGAAAGAGAAGATACTTTCATTGCAACTTTCAAAGCAATTATAATGAATATATTCCTATTTTGTAATCTCTAGAAATAATTTTATCATAAAACAAAGTTATAGTTACTCTAAGTACAGTCTACATATCAGTCATTTTTAAAAAATATATAGGTGTTTGTAGCATTTTAAGGTTATTCTCATTCCTTAATTTTAAATATTTTTCAATTTCATAATAGTACTAACAAGATGTGGCATAGTGATGTCTTTTTTTTTTACAAATTAACATTTCCTTTGAATTAAAAATGCTGATTTTTTTAACAGACTGTAAAATATGTCCATGTACCTAAGATTGTTCTGTTCTCCAAAAGCCTACATTTAGATTGGAATTTTGAGACAGAAAGGCATAATCTGTGCCCCATCTCAGCAGGCATTCATCTGTTCATACTGTGTAAAATGCCCTCAAAAGGCCAACTGTAGGGTACCCATAAAAATGACATAGGGAGGAAATAAGAGTAATTCTCTCTGTTAGAAACTTCCCACACACAGGGAAAGTCAGTGTGGAGAAAGTTAGAGAACCAATGCTTTCCCACAAAAGAAGTAATTATGCATCTCACTCTTCAAAAATTAGAAGCCTTCCCTTTCCACATTTGTTCAGGTCCATTTTTGAATCTGTAGGTGAAGTAATTTAAGCAATTTAAAAAAAATTATTTCCCTCCTAATTTTAAAATTTTTTACATCTTGTCAATAGATGTCAAAAAATAATGTTAGTAACTTTAAATATAGAAATTGGTAGTATCTACTTACAAAAAAATTATTTTATTGTGTAATAAAGACTATCAATAAAGTGGAATATCAGTATCATAAATTTTCTTATGCACAAAATGCATCCAAAAATCATATATATATGTGTGTATATATATATACACATATATATATATATATATTCAAGTAGGTAATTTCTAGTAGAAATTTCTTCTAGAAATCCTAATATAGAACTTGAGTAATTTATTTTATTCAATTTAAGAATGGATCAGTTTCTCAATCTGTCTCACATTTTAATGAATGTTTTTGTTAATTATTAGTTTCTTATAAAATCACTTGTCATCTAAAGAAATTATAACCATATACGGGAAGGAATCAAAGTATTTTTAGTCAACTCCAAGGCAAAGCACATCATCATTTTCTAATATCCAGAAGCAAATTAAAGTAAATAAGTATTTATATTGCACAATTCTGCCTACCATAAGGATAATATAAGATCTTACACTAAATGGATGTACCTTTAAAAGCATAACCATGAAAACTCGAATAGAGGAAGGAAAGATTCTCTAGTTTTTTTACATGTTCATGATTTGTGTAAAAAATTCCAGAAAACTAAAATTTGAAACTGGAACTTTTAATAATTTATTTAAAATTTTTGAAGAAAAAATATATTAAAACAATTAAATTTTAACATTAATTAAGTTGGTTGGATGTTTATCCTATTGATATAATAACAAAAAACTTTACCTCAAATGGGTAGCTAGATCCTTCTGGATAGATTATGTATAAACCGCTTGGTGTTTTGGTGACAGAGCCAATGGTATCTTTAATATCAGTACAATCTAAACCTAAAAAATAAAATTAATTATTTAGGATATTTTTAAGTTTACACTTAACACCGTCATTTTAGTATAGAGAATTAACAGTGCTATCTGAAATTATTATAATTTCCAGTAATGATAGGATGATTTTAACATTTGGAAATGAAAATTGATCTTAAATTTAGAAATAAAGAGAAAATACATGGACAAAGAATATATGCTGGGATTAAAGAATATATGCTGCAATAAATATAATATCACTGTTAGTTATTTATATTCAATACTGTTTAAAAGTTTCACTTGGGATCAATATTTATTTAATTATATTTTATAATTATATATTCTCTTGCCCAATAAATAACACCCTTTTAGAAATCCAGGCTTGTCTTAGGGGCATAATATGTAAAGGTAATTTATATGTATGGGGAGGAGAAAACCCAAAGGAGTAAGTGTATTAACTACTATTGGCATATCGTTGACTATGCTATTCAAAATTTCAGAGACACTGATATATTAGAGATCACTATTACCAATAGCAAAGGGAGGAGGGGAAAATCACTTTTTTCATCAAGCAAAAGTTATGCTTGAAGCTAGAGCCTGCTCTGCTGACAATAGTTAGAACTATAGCACCCTGTAATCACCCTCTTCAAACCATTCAACTTGCCAAGGAACTGTAAACATAATAGATGGATATAGATATTACATTTTACTCTAATATACTTTATATTATCTTTTATAAATGTAATAAAATAAATTCAACGCTTACAAGTATCAATTACCCAGGAAAACAAACATGTGAAAGCCTGGGACTCCAGAACCAGGAGACTGCATTAGAGTCCTAGTTCCACTTCTCACTAGCCAAGAACATTAGCTAAGTTACTTAACCTCTTTTCTTCATGTGTAATACCACCACCATCATCATCATCATCATCATCATCATCAATCATCATCATCATCATATCTACTTCTTAGTGTTATTCTGATGATTTACATTATAAGGCATTATGTAAAGCACTTAACACAGTGCCTAGCACACAGTAAATACTGAGAAGATGTCATCTACAAAAAGTTAGCTATGACAATTTTTGCTTTCCCTTTCATTTACAAGAGAAATAGATTCATTGCCTTTGTCCTGAATTGTTGAGATATTAGAATAACTTTATGAACAGACATATGATAGAAGTTCACAAAGACTGACCTGGGTTGGAATTTCTCTTTTGCCATCACCATCCAAATAAGTATGAATAGAATATTTAGATTTTTCTGGGCTGTATATTCCTCACCTAATGATAGCAAACCCTTATATTGTCTTACTATGCATCAGGTAATATTTTAGGAGATTTTCGTGAATTTCATGAATCCTCACGAAAACCTTATGAGGTAGGTACTATCAGTTTACCAATGAGGAAACTGATATTAAGGAACCAGTGGATAAGGGATTTGAAAAAGGCAGTCTGAAATCAGACTCCGTGCTCTTCGCTACCATGTTACACTACCTACCGAGGGGTGGTTATGGGAAATAAATGAGATACATTAAAATAATACAAAATAATAGCATGTAAAAGTGCTAGTCTTACTAATACCTGACACATAGGAGATTCTCAGTAACTATTTATTTCCTTCTCTTTGTAATGAAAAAAGACAGATCATACACTAAAAGGCCCTCAATGATATTTATCTGCTTGGAATTTCTTGATATAAATTCATATTGGTAGGATTTGTGGGGCATTTTTGTCGGAAACCCAAGCCTCTAGGAATTACTATACTGTATTTTAGTACAAAAAGTATTAAATTCCAGTTTGCTTCTGTCTTGTTTCTTTTTCTTTTCAAATTTTAAGTATCAATTTATAACACTTCAAACATGTCAAAAATACTTTTTACAGGTGGAAGGAACTCTGAAACTTTCTTTTCTTCTAACTGAAGTTTAATTATTAATAAAATGTAAAGGGGAGCCCAGAATTCAATTACATAAAACTATGCTGTTTTCGACAGATTCAGAATATCTATATGCAGCCATGGCTTTCAAACAGTCAGAAAAGTTTTTCAATTTAGGAAAGTACACATAGTGTGGGTTGAAATTTGCTTAATGGCAAGTATTAGTCCTCTAATGTGTTAGATAATAGTGAGCTGTGTTTTTTAAACAAAACTTCTAACTGCACCAACCTGTTCAGGAAATTTTTAAGCAATAAAAGACAAGTATGAAAAGGCTGAAATATCAAAGTTCTCACCATGTGACTGAACTGGTCTGTGCGGAAAAGGATCCAGCTGTTTTCTAAAAACTTCAGTAGTCAAAAGAAGAACTCGATTCATGAGCTCATTTACCTAAATACATGTGCACAAATATAAGTAAATTTATATCTGAACAAACTTCCTTTAGCTGAATTCTATAACTGATATCTCTAAGCCTCTTATAAATCCAGTTCTGAAATGTAGATAATGCTCATTCTCTACATTGAATTCTTGTTCTAACAAAGTAATAAAGGCATAGCTAAATAGCAACCATTAAATTCAATGCCATTTAACTCCTGCACATTTTCATCTGCTCATTTCTTCATTTGACTGCTCTTACAGATCTGTTCTTTATATCTTGCCTAAACCATTGCTATAGTTTCTTATCTGGTTCCCCTGCCTCCTTCCTCTGTTTTCCCTCAAGTTATTCTCTACTCCAGCTGCCAATCTATTTATTTCATTTCCCTGCTCAGACACTTCAGTGACTCCTTGGTGTGGCATGATTTAGTTCCTATTTCTTTAAGTCAGTTTTCCTTATATATCCTTACCTCATCAGCCACTCCACCGCTGCACTAACTGCAAGTAGTTCCCCAGCATGGAATGCCCTAGCTTTCTTATCTAACCTTTGTGACATTTGAAGCATTTTTTTCATCTATCATGACTCAGCTCAAGAGTTCTATCATCTGGAAAGGTTTCTCAGATCTCAGATCTTAGATATCTCTTTTGTGTCATTCTAACAGCATTCACAACATTTTCAATACATTTTTCTGCTCTCCTAGACTTATAACGCTTAAGTGAAGGCTTTTTTGTTGTTGTTATTGCTTTCTGTTTGTCTGAGCCTCACTATGGTACCTCTAACATAGTAACCACTAAATAGATACCTGGACATAAATGCATTAAAAAGTTAAATAATTGTACTTCTAGCTAAGTATATCAATGTATACATACAATAACCACACAATACTCAAAAATCCATACCTGATTAGATAAGTAATCCAAGGAAGCTTGTTGCTCATCCATTATCTTTCTTAGTAGTTTTTTGGTACTTCGTGTGTAAGAAATAATAGAATTTTGCAAATTTCCTTAAATCATAATAAAAAGTGTTTATTAAATATTATATTGTTATAGAAACAAATTACAATGAAAAATAATAAGTTTCAATGATTTTGAATAAATACATAAACAATAACATCTTTAAATACTCAGTATTGTATATGCTAGTTAGTATGTTTTTTATTTAACTTGAGATTAATCAAGAACACACTGCTTTATCATTTCTTAATAAAACTATGTTTCTTAATAATTTCAATTACCTCCAGATCATTTAATTTGATGTAATTGAGAGACAAGATTCTGAATATCAATTCTCACTTTATAAGTTGAGAGGTATAGAAGCAGGAGGTATAAGACTAATCGATTCTTACTTTATATATAGGAAAGTAAAAAATGATAATCTCCTATCATGCAGTGTAATTTTAAAAATAAATCTTTTAATTTTTTTCTATTAGTGCTATATTTTTATATAAAAGAATTGCAAACACATACATATACACACATAATAAATCTTAATCAAGTTTTGGTTGGTTGGTTTCTGATTGAATTTTCATTATATTTTTTCCTTTGTAAAAATGTATTAATTTTAAAACACTTATAAAATAGTTGGAGGAACAGTACAAATAACTTTTTCCTAAATCATTTGAGAGCATACTGCCATGACGACCCTGGAGATTTCAGTGTGTATTTCTTACACCAAAGACATTCTCTACAACACAACCATCAAAATCAGGATATAAACATTGACTATCACATATTTCTTAGACCTCATGCAAGTTTCTCTAATTATGTCCTTTGTAACAAAAGGAACCACATATTATTACATACATTATTCTTTTAAAAAATATTTTATTTCTACATTCTTAATTTTTACTCTAGCAGTAGAATCACTTTAATAATTCTTAATATTTTAAAATTTACTTCACCATGTTTCATCTCTATTTTACTTTCAGTCTTTAACTTTCTATTAAATTCTTTTTGGTTTTAGACATCTTTCTTAATGGACCTAAAGCTACACTCACTGGTTTGAGAAGCCTGAGACAACTTGTGTTACACATAGAATTAAGCACATTAAAATGAGGTTTTCATACTTTCTGACCTAGGAATTAAAGTCCTGTAAGAACTTGATCAGATTATCATCTCCTCCACTTCTGATTTTCCTTCTTCATCTCACCCTCTATGTAAATATAGTAGACCATGAAAATCACTACACTGTTACTATGTAGTTTTAAACAAAATTTGAGATTTTAAAACTTTTTATTTTTATGTTTTGTTGCATAAATTGCTGTGGATTTATACTATATCTATTGTAGCAGTTACTCAATATTAATGAATTCTCTCCCTCAAAACTAAGGTGATATTTCCAAGTGTTTCCAATGGAAGCAAGAAAATAGCCCTAGGCAAATTGATAACAATACTGCTATCAGTCACATCTGGCTTGCCCCTTCCTTCTGTGGTCTATTGATGCCACAGGACTATATAGAAGAAGGATTTGTTCATTTACCAAATATTTACTAAGCTCATACTATGTGTGCAAAACACATAAAACTTCTGGCCTAGGATGATCAGGACATATATAAAATGGCCCAAACAAAAGCTAAAGTATATTCTTTCCGCGTTCAACCTAGAAATAACAAATCATATACCTTTATAGTTGTGGTTATTTTTAATACTTACTACACATGAAATGTTTTTCTTCTCTTGTAATTTTGGTTTTAACATCACATGATTCCTCACAATCTTCCTTATAAACAGTATCATAACTTTTATTTTCGTCTTTTGCATTAGATACATCTTCCACAATGTTAACTACTGCAGAATCCTTTACATTAAAAAATAGAAATAAGAAAAAATATGTTAAGTATGATATATGACCTAATACACAATAAATAAAAGACTATAGAGAAAAGATGAAGTTTCAGGACATAACAAGGATGATCATTAGGGGAAAAAAATGAAATGAATTGGTTAGTTCAAACTTACACAAATAAACCCTATGGGTAGATTTTGGGTGTGAATAATAATATATGTTAATTTAGTCCTTTCACTACCCTGTTTTCTTCTCAAATTTCAAAAGGATTTATAGTCATCCCTCATTATCCATGGGGGATTAGTTCCAGGAACCCTGTAGATACCAAAATCCATGAATGTTCAAATCCCTTATATAAAACGGCATAGTATTTGCATATGACCTATGCACATCCTCCCGTACACTTTAAATCATATCTAAATTATAATGTAAATGCTATGTAAATAGTTGTTATACTGTATTGTTTAGGGATGACCAAAAAAAGTCTATACCTGTTCAGTACACATGGAACCATTGTAGGCCTAACTGCATAGTAAATGTCAGCAACAACATAACATTTTTTCCAAACATTTTCAATTTGCAGTTAGTTGAATCTACAGATGCAGAACCCACAAATACAGAAGGCGGACTACATTTAGGGTCTACTTTCTATAACCATGGCTCTATGTCCTTGACCTTTAACTTTTGCACATTTCTATGTGTGATACAGTGCTAAATCATCCCTCTGCTGGAAATCTTGCAATTTGAAGTTCCTTGAACATGACTAAGAAGTTTCCCTGAGATACCTACAACATTTCTATGCCAAATGGACTTTTTGTCACCAATTATTAGAAATCATGTTGGGAGAAGGAATGTGTAGGAGAATTGTTGCCTTTGTAAAAAACTAAAGTATTTAGAGATTTGAAAAGTAAAGTATTCATAGGCTTTTAAAGTATCAGTAATAACGGGGGGGAAAAAAGCATGGAATTTTGCTTTGCAAAATCAACAACAGATGTCATTTTTAAAAGCCTGTCATTCCAAAAGTATGTCATTCCAAAGGTATCTATTTTTGTTGGTACTACTGGTTTCTTCAATGTTACAATATTCTCTGGTTTAAGTCATATAGATTTAAATGACTCTTATTTGTCCTCCTTCAACCTGGATATTGAGAGAAATGTAAAGAGCTAATCATATTATAAAAGATATCTGCCCCAGAAAGATACTCATATTTTGTTATATAAATCTATTTTTAATTTTTTTATTCTTTCTCTTCTACTCCTATAACTAACTACTAGATTTTTTAAAAACCTAGGTTACAACTATATTTTTTTATATCTAAATAAGATTCTTAAAACTTTAGTATTTTAGAGAATTAAGTTATTAATATTTCTGTAGCTTTCCTAGAACATATTTCTTCTTCAGCCTTGGTACTTTGGAAATTAGTATTCATACAGTGGCAAATACATTTCATAACATTTTAAAATTATAAACCAATATTTAATTATATACCATTCACATACTCATTTAGTCATAGTATCATATATACTATATTAGCTATTACTCTGACATTGTTTTGAATAAAATTTTCTAATGTTCTAGATAATCACTCATAATACTATATTTAAAATATGAAATTTCATAGAATAGGGTTTTTTTGACAATGAAGTTAATTTTTTTTATTACCTACCAGATATTTCATTATCAAAGTTAATCAGAAAGTTGCTGGATAGTTTTTAACAGAGATCTGCAATTTCTTTAAAGTATTTTCACAAGAAATATGTTGAGTCAATCCTCAATTTATGGTTTACTAAGTTTAAAAATAACATTATTTAAGCAAAGTTTCAGCATTTCTAAATAAACACTTTAATTTTTTTATAAATTATATTGGGTAGTATAATCTTTTCAAACATCTAATACATATTTTTAAAACCATATAATGATGCTTTCTTAGCTAAAATAATATTGCTGAAGTTCTTACCGTAGATTGATGTCCACAGTTATGTTGTATAGCTTCTCCACAAATAAAAATACATATATTTAAGAACAAGAGTGAAGCCTGGGGAAAATACATCATATTTTTCTTAGAGAAATGAAAACCTTCTTCAAATATCAGTCAGCTCTCTGTGGAAGGAACTGCAGTGTCTAAAGTCTTCACTCAAAAATTTCTGGAACATGTCCAACAAAAACACAAGCCAATACTTACCAGTTTCCATGCCCTCTTTTGAAACAACATCCTTCATATGAAAAGAAGGTAATCTCTAGAGAACCTGTTATTTGAAGTTACAAAAATCCTTTTTTAGCATTACATACCTGCAGTATAAATCCATGCTCTTAGAATATAGGCAATAGATAGATGATAGATAGAAAGACAGACAGATAATAAATGTATAAATTCATCAGTTTTATAAGTCAGATCTATTTTGCCTTAAGAAAAAAAGGCTTTCATAAGCTATACCTCAATAATTATAAACTGGTTTGCATAAAAATAATAAGAAAGTAGAAATGAGTGATAGAGTAGGAACAGTATTACATTAGAGCTATTTCTGCTGTGGACCCTGAGAAAGAATAATAATAATGGTTCCTGGTGACCTTTAACTTTTGCACATTTCTATGGCTCAAATCTGAAAACAAAAACAAAAACAAAAACAAACAACAATAAAAAACAGAGCCTAGCAGCCATTTATAAACAGAGGCCTCTCACGTAAACCACATCTCAGGGAGAAAGCTGCACTAAGCTATCTGCTTCTCACACTGAACTACCTGCCTGCACTGTGTTCCTGCCATCTGAGCCAGCCCTTATAAAGGAGTTCCTAGTATTTCAGGCAACAGGACAGAGGCTTTCCCAGCTATATTCCCCCATCAGCATCTTCATCAACCAATTAGAGTGGCTCTATTCTCCAATCAGGACAGTGCCTTCTGAACCAATCAAACTGCAAGGATTTGAAGTCCTCATTTACATGAGGATGAACCAATCATGGACTAGGG